GCCGGAAGGCGGCTGCGCGCCCCCGCCGCCGCGGACGGGCCCTTGGGAGCCCGAGCTAGGCCCCTGGCGGGCTTGGCGGCGCCGGGCGGAAACCTCCGGTCCCGGTTCCTGCCCCAGCGGCGAGGCCAGGGCGGACGCCGAGGGGCCGGGGCTGGGCCGCCCCTTCCCATGCGGCCGAACCCCGGCCCCCAGCCTCTCCTGGCAGGTGCGGACGCCGCTCAGGGCCGGGGGTGACGAGGCCCCTCGCTTCCAGGGTGCCGGCAGAAGGGGGCCCTTAGGGGCACCCTAAGGGAGCACCCCTCCCTTTTTTCCCCCCCGCAGAATTGGCTTTTCTTGGTAATGGCTGGTTCGGAATGTCAGGTGAGCCGCATCCCGGTGCGTCAAAGTAGTCCGAGTCACGAGAGGCCAGTGGGCGGATGCTCGGCGTCCACCGCTCGCGTTAAACCAAAGTTGGGGAATGTTACAATTTGACTTTAGCGTTATTGATTTCCAGGGTATACAAAAGCGCGGAGAGATGTAATCTCTCAGGCCATCGTAGTTTATTCCTAATTACTGTTGTTGTGTTGTTGTTGTTGTTTTTAAAGATGCCTGCCTGTGCTAAGTGAATGTGTAAATCCAGGCGGAAACTGCAGATGGCTTTGCATTCTTTAAAAAGATGCTGTATTTGGGTGATTAATCATGCGCATTGTCGTTGAATGATTGCCGATGGCAAGTATGCTTCATTTGAGACTTGAATTAATTATGAATTAGGAATATGTTTGATAGAGCCAACCAGTTTATTTTAGGAATTAAGGGTTACACAAACACGATTGTTTCTTAAATGCTCTAGTTTGTTTTTTACTAGTGTTTACTTGCTTACCCAGAGATAGGCGAAGTGTGACTTGAAATTTTGTGTTGTTTTAGTCAGCTTAATTTAGGTGGCATAGACTCTGTAGGTTAAGCTTCTTAAGCCTCTTAAGAAAATTGCCTCTTTCCCTCTGCTTGTTTGCTATATTGTTAATCAGTGATAAAACCTAAACGCAGTCTATAAACATCACCTAAAACCTTTACGTGAATTGATAATAATATCCCTCAAATTTTAAAGATAGTAGCAACTCTGTTCTGCATATCTTTAGGTTTCTTTGGCTGTGCCTATGATTCTCTAGTAATATCTCTCTCCTGCCCAGCTTTATTGAAATATGATTGACATATATCCCTTGTAATTTCAAAAGTGTAGAAGGTGCAAGTTGTTTTTAAAAGCTTAATTTAAGAACAAGCAATTTTGTATTTTTGGAAGGCATGGGAAAATGTGCATTATTGCTATTGTAATATTAATGAGCAGCAGAAGAGCTTGCATTTTTTAACGCTTTTTTATATTTATTCCCTCCACTCACCTTTATAGTGAAAGGTAGAATTGTCTGACAAAACTTGACCTGTACTGAATTATTGAGCAGGGAGGTATTATTATTAGTTCAACAGATCTCAAGGCTAAAATCCTAGTCTCTTCTGAATATGAGGAAATGTGTTAGGCATGTTCTGGGATTGCAATTATAAAAAATTGCATTTTTGCAAAAATAGAGTAGTATAAGGAACCTCTATACACCTATCACCCACACAGGAGCTTTCAGGATTTTCTTTATCCATCTCTTTTTCTTTCATACCTTAATTTTTGTTGTTGTTGTTATTTCATCCTACATACTTAACACATCTTTTTTTTTAAAAAGTGGAAGTTTTTTTCCATAACCTTAAGATTTCTATTTTTAATGTGTCTTTAATATCAAGTTTCACAAATTTCCATCCTTCTAGAAAGACAAAAAGAACATTTATTGGTCATCTCCTTCAACTACTTTCCTCAGTATTAAAATATATTTACTGCGGTTATCATTAACTGAACACTTATTACTGCTAGGCCCTGTGCTGTTTTGCATAATCAGTTAAAGCATAATCAACAAAGATCCTATGAGTAGTTACTTTTTCTCCTATCAAGTAGATAGGTGAAATGCTAACCTGGAGGTTAACTGACCACCCTTAGTCTCTGAGCTAGTAAGTACAAGAGCCAGGTTTCAAACCAAGACCTTTTAACTTCAGCCCCTGTGCCTTTATCACTCCTCTTGATTCAGAAATTAAAAAATAAAAAAAAAGTCATTTGGGCACTCAGTAAATATTTGTTGAGTAAATGAATGAAAGTACATGTTAATCCACTGGTAAGTAACTAGCATTTGTATGTACTATATTTACTTGTAAAGCAATTTGTGAACAAGTTCCAGAAATGATTCAGAATAAACTAATTATGTTACTAAATTATATCACTAAAACTTGTATTACTAAAAATGTGGTATATTTATAACAGTGCATTGGTTTTTGGTTTGTTTTTTTTTTTTGGTATGCTGATTTTTTCAATACCTTATTTATGGAAAAATTTGTGGAACAACTGTTTTTAAAGAAAGACTAAGAAAAGGCAGGCTTTTTTTTTTGGCGTATTAGTTGTTAAAGTCAGGATTCCATGTGTGAAGTAGGAAAATAAGAATGTTTAGAATCTGTAAACGAGTAGATCTAAAGATGAAGGTGCATCAGAAATGCTGTTGTTTTTTTCTTGAGGTCATTTTTTGCTTTGTATCCTCCTGTAACTATTGAACATAGTCACTGATGTTAAAGTCCTGTTGGGTAGATGTACATGGTGCATATTTGTAGGTATTCTTTGAAAAGGGGGAACTGAACTGGTTTTAAAGGATCTTAAGGCAGAGAGGAAGTGGGGGAGGAGAGGAGGAAACTGAGCAGAAATAGGGCAGTGAATACATCACGAAATAAGGTATTTATACAACTGTAAGAGGGCAGCATATTTCATTTGCAAATAGTATTATTTTAAGAGAGTCACTTGAAAAATCATTTCACAGCTATATCAGGACACTGAATGATTTAGTTACTTGGGAAGCTATTCAGCAGTAGTTATGGGAGACATTTAGGAGATCTATTACCAGACAGTAGACATTTAACTTGTTTGATTTAAGCAACTCTTCTATGTTTTCTGGATTAGTTTCTTCACTAATGCATATTCATTTTAGAAAAAGTATATGTGGTTAATAAAAATTCCATTTATTTTCATTTTAACTATAGTAGATAAGATATAGGCTTTCAAGATGAAACCTCCTGCTCTTAACTCCCAACATGAAATACCTGTATGGTCTTGAGCAACTGATTTTAATTCTCTAAGCTTCTGTTTCTCATTTACAAAACGTACTTGTCTCATAGTGGTATTGTACGTAATAGAAAGTATTTAGCACAGTGACTAATTAGTATGGGTGCTCAATAAACATTACCATTATTCCAACTAGCTTCAGTGAGAAATTTCAAACTAGCTTAATCCTTTTTTTGTTTCTTTTTTGGTCTTTTTACCTAAATGACTGGAAAAGAAATTCCCTTTTTTGCACCTTAATTTTTAATCTTATCATCAAAACAATCCATGTAAGAAGTCTGGAAAACAGAAGAACTGACCCACAATCTCATCTCCCCCTAAAGAATCTGCCTCCCCCGCCCCCCTTAAATTAGGGGTGGTGGGATGTAGCCTGAAGGAGGAAAGTGTCTGTATCTGCAAAAGAGACTACTGCTTTGGATTATCACTTCCAAGTCTTTGAATCCAGGTGGTTAAACAACTTATGCTTTTCAGCGTGAGGAGCGCTTGACTAGTATGAGGTTGACAATGGGAAAGAATAGTCAAGAATGGTGGGCAGTTGGGGTGCCTTTGTGGCTCCATAGGTTAAGCGTCTGACTTTGGCTCAGGTTATGATCTCAATGGTTTGTGGGTTCAAGCCCCACGTCAGGCTCTGTGCTGACAGCTCGGAACCTGCTTTCTGTGTCTCCCTCTCTCTACCCCTCTCCCACTCATGCTCTCTGTCTCTCAAAAATAAATAAAACATTAAAAATAAAAATATTAATAAAAAAGAATGGTGGACAGTGGCAAACTATAGAGTCCATGTAGATAAACCCTAGCAGGGTTTTCTCTGACAGGAGGACACTGTTAACTGCTGCTTTATCATTTTCTTTTTGCTTAAACACATTGGCATGAATTTCACATGTGTAGCGTTTGGTGATTTTACTTTTTGGTGGACATGAAATACATTTTGGTAAGTATAAGTGAGAAATTCAAGACTCATGAAATTTGCAGAGAATGATGTGGACTGAGATGCACGTGTAACACGCATTTTCTAACTTTGTGGTAAGTCCTGAAAACCTGAATGGTAGAAGAGAAGTCATGGTTTAATTTCCACTTAACCTTCTTTCACTGTGAGCATTTTAGGCTTCTCCTCTGCTAATGTTCCAGTGAAATGCTTATAAATTGATGTTGTCCTGCTGCAGAGACAGCCTGTATTGGAAGGCTTTCCCTGTCCACCACTCCTTCCTTCTAATGTGTGGTCCTCATTCTGTGATGCTGACTTGGAGTTTTGGCTCCTTCAGGATCTAGAGAACAGAATCACTTGTATGATTGAGATGTTAAGAGCCGTTTAGACTAGATACAGATAACCCCAACCTTTTTCTGAACGTTACTCTCCCGTACCTGGGTTTATAGTCTTTGTAGCATGGTGGTAACCTCATCTTGATAAAGTACATGCTGTAGCTCCCTCTTAAATACATCTTTGTTATCGCTTTCTACATTAGGTTGACTTTACCTCATCTTTGTCTTTCTGGGGGCTTCGGTGGGGGAAAAATGCCTTAACCCTCTGTTTTCTGTCATCTGCTTTAACTTTTTCTTTGTTCTTAACAACCATCTTTCATTCTAAAAATTAAACCCAACAGAAGTTACTGCTCATTCATGGTACCAAATTCCTCTAACAAATATTGTGTGCGTACAGGCCAGGAACTGCCCCAAGCATTGAGCATGTAAGCAGTTGACAGAATATACAAAAATCCCTGCCCTTATGCTGCTTATATTCAAGAAGAAAGAGGAGAGACAATCAACTGTCTAGAAGTTAGAATTTGCCAGGTGCTGTGGAGAAAAAGTAAGGCAGGAAATGGGAGTAGGGAATGTGTAGGTAGTTGGGTGGGGGGTAATTGAGAGAAGTAAATTTGCCTTTTTCAAGGTTATTATTAAAAAATGAAAGACCTGGGAAAAGATTATTGTTTGTGCTTTATGTGTTAACTTATATTTCACATATTGTATTTAGCAAAATTTATTATTTAAGGCTTTTTTAACGTT